AAGGAACCTAAGCAAACCCATAAGGGCTTTAACTTTTGTCTATTAGCTTTGATGTACTTGACAGGTTCTTATATGCAACGAAATTCTAGAGTCAGAACGGAGCATGGAACAAGGTCTAAGGATGAGTTATGGATGAGCATAGAAGACAATCATAAGCCAAGTTCCTTGAGTGAGGAACTGAAGCTTCAGAGTCGAAGCTTCACAGTGTTCCAAGGAGTCTATTGTATCTTTATTATTTATTTTAGGCTTCTTGTATATATGTTAAGTACATTGTTAATTGATAGGATTTAAGTGGATTTAATTTCAGCTTATAAAGATTTTATTTTCCTTCATTTAACGAGATTTAATTTTATATTTTATTTCGGAAAACTATTTTTTAAGTAAAAATATCTTATTTATTAAAAGATTTTCTGTTCTGATTTTATCCTAATATTTTGGAAAATCTGACTTGGTAAAACTATTTTTAAAACGGCTTTTACTTGGTAAAGGAGGTTGAGAAAATAAAGGAATCACTTCCTTATTGTATGCTTCAGCTTGCTGCCGAAGCATCCACGAACTGCACTTCCTTATTTCATGGAAGTTGTGGTATAGTGGGAGCTAAGGCAAACGTAAGGTTTTCAACTGTTTTCCTCCGGTATAAATAGGTTTAGTTTTCTGTTTTGAAAAGCACACTTGAGCATTACGATTCTTAGCTTTTCTAAAAGAGTCAAAAATCCACTTAACTCCTTGAGTGTCTTTGTACTTAGCATCTTAGAAGTTTTGAGTTGTATTGGGGTAGAGTTTGGGTAAACTCTAGAGTGTGAAATTGCTTTGAGTGAAGCGAGGAGAAAGAGAGAGATTTGAGAGCTCAACTGATTTAGGGATCAGTTGAGGGGGAACTTAAGTTCGTAGAGGAACTTGAGTTTAGAAGTCTTAATTTGTAATAGGTTGTTTGCCCTATTATTATTAAGAGTTGTGATTAAAATCCCTTGTGGTCGTGGTTTTTCTTCTTGATTAAGGCCAAGAAGTTTTCCACGTAAAATCTCTCTTGCACTTTAAAGTTTTGTTTAAGTTTCTTTAAGAATTCCGCAAAAATTACCCTAGTTCCTCAACAATACAATTCACCCCCCCCCCTCTTGTATTGTTCATTCGAGTCAACATATGTCATCTTATATGAAAAGGAGGAAGTATAGCATAAAAATGAATTCACTTGTGAAAGAAGATCTATCATGGAAAGGTGATTGGAAATACTTATATGCTTCCAGCATTCAAGCAGCAATATCCATGTCTATGTAATTAGAGTACAAATTTTCCTACATTATGAAAGAAACATAGAGTTGGGACACTAACAGAGTCCTAATAAACCAAGGTGGTGTTCCAGATGACAACAAAAAGGGTTAGAATTAGTAGGACATCATCGGTTCATCAATAAAGGTCATGTTCTTAAGAAATTTATGTTTCACAACATAAAATCACTAAGGGGGCATTTGGTTCATAAAATTGAAATGGAGTGGAAAGGAAACAAATACGCGGGGAGAAGGAATCATTTAGCTATTACCTTTTCATTTGTTTGGTTTAACCATGAAAAGAGCATTTGTTAAGAGGAAGGTAAGGGTATTTGTTGCCCCGAGATTTTGAGAGGTAATAAATGAGGGGCAACCATTACACTTAGGTGATGGTAATTGCACCAAGCCTTCTAACCAAACACACGGTAACAGTGTTGGTATCAACGAATCCGTTTCCAATCCAAAAAATGAAGGAAATGTGTCCTCGACTCCAGTGCAATTACTAAGTATAATTATGGATCGTATTATGGAGATAGTAATTCGTTTATTTGGGTCGTCTATACATCTTGCTAGAGAATGCTATAGAACTTTGGGTTAGTAAGTAACAAACCCGAAGCCCACCTAAACAGATCCTACAAAGTCACACATTAGTTTTGAATCAATAAAGAAACCCGAAGCCCAAAGTGGGCCTTAGGGTGATCGGCCAAGAAGGGAAAGAGGAGAGGAAAATCCTAACCTAATTAATGATGATGAGATTATATTAATTAGAGGTTTTAGAAAATAAAATATACAGTATTCAGTTTTCTAAAAACAACGTAACTTTTCCTCTCCATATTTGCTCTCTAAAAACCGGTTCTCTACTCCAAGAAAGGTGAAAGGTTTTTCCCGTCCAACTAGCATTGGTGGAGTGTTGATTCAAGCCGGTGGACCAAATAGAGGAGTCGCACTTGAGGCTTTTATCTCCCCTAGAAAAGAAGATTGCTAAGAGGATTCGCGGTTCAAAGGTTAATTCTAAACTATTATGTGACCCTTTATTTGTATATGCATAAGATCCTGTATAGGAGCGTATGAATGAGATTCATGAAATTCCGCTTAGAGTACCTAAAACCCTACAAAAAATACACTAACCAAACATTCCCTTAATGTATTAAGACAACATGTATGATCCAGCTTCTTCACAGATCCAAAATTTTCTAAAGAATAAAGTAAATATGTTCAACTTCAGGTTAGCCAAATCAAGTTAGAAGGTATATATGTTACAAATTAAGAAACAAAGGTGATAGCTCTCCATCTCTTATTATCCACAATGAAAATGGATGTCCTTCCACCTACGCCTAATGCTATGTTTGGATAAGAAATTAGAAGGGAAATGGAAGGGAGGGAAATAGGAGGAAGGGGAAGGTAGGGAAAGTGGAGGAAATGATGAGCTCCATTTTCCCTCCAAATCTCTCCAATTTTGAAGGGATCATCTTTATTAAAGGAGGAGGGAAAATGAATCCCTCCCTCCCCCTCCCCTTCCCCTTCCCCTTCCCTCCCCCAACATATTATCCAAACAAAGAAGTTTATCTCCCTCCCTTTTCCTTCCCTTCCTTTCCTTCCATTTTTTGTTATCCAAACATAGCCTAAAAGTCTTGGAGTCATTGGTGGATCATCTATTATTATTAATTTGATCCTCTCCATATACTCATTAGAAGTTCTCAATTATCCATGTACTTCGTCTATCCACGTATAATCTTCCTCTATTACTTTTTAGAATGTCCACAAATGATCTTCCTATCACTTGGCACTTTAACATGTGCGTCCAAACCTTGAAGACGGGGGAGTATTATTGTTATATTGTTATCTAAATTTTCGACAATTTGTGAACCATGATAGATAACAACAAACTAGAAATTCAATTAACCTTCCAAATGCTTTCTTGTAATCATTCATGTAAGAGGAAAAATATCCAATTCTTCAACCACCCAACATGGCCAACAACATGAGCTGCCATTCTAATATAGAATTCACATTCAATCAAACATCCCAAAATAATCATCACCCTTACATGAATGATACATCAAGATTTAAATTACGCACATTAATTTGCAATTTTGTTTCAAGTAAGGTGTAACATTAAAAAAAAAAAAAAAAAAAAAAAAAAAAAAAAAAAAAAAAAAAAAAAAACAAATTTCATATATACATTGCTCATTAACCGAGAAAATCACATTTTGGCATTTCATAATAACAAAAAATCATCAAATTTGTTTTTAATAAATCAAACAGATTGATTGTATAACAATTAAAGAAAGCGAGAGACGAACCCGAAGATCGAGGGGATTAATGGAGACGGCACGAGCACGAACAAGAACCTGATTAGGCTTAAGATCAGGAACATCAACACCATCACGAAGCTCAAGAACTTGAGGACCGCCAAAATGAGGCAAAAGCACTGCTCTACAGCTAGTCACAATACTCCTACTATTACTACAACCATTAATCCCTAACCCTAACCCTAAATTGAAATTACTCTTCGAAAATGATGATGAAAAGATGAAATTCTTGAAACTGGAATCATTCGATTTGAATACATGCAATGATTTAAGGAACCGCATTTTGGATTGAAATTGAAGAAAGATGAATGATGAATTGATTTGAGCAGTGATTATCGCAACATTCGGAAAGAGGAGAGAGAAATAGAGGGAGGAGAGAGAAAGAGGAGGGAGTTAAGGGAGGTTTAAGGAGAAGGCGAAAATGGTGGGTTTTGGTTGTGGGAATGGAGACGTGTAAGGAGTATCGTCCGCATAGTGTACTCACTGCTCAGCTCTTGGTTTACTACTCGGTATCACTTGTGTAGTTGTGTCTTAAACTACGTATAAAGTTTGGTGTTGCAATTTAAAACTCCATCAGCTCTTTGTTTACTACTCGGTATCACTTGTGTAGTTGTGTCTTAAACTACTTATAAAGTTTGGTGTTGCAATTTAAAACTCCATCAGCTCTTTGTTTACTACTCGGTATCACTTGTGTAGTTGTGTCTTAAACTACGTATAAAGTTTGGTGTTGCAATTTAAAACTCCATGTCTAATGATTGGTGAGTGTTTCAAGTTTGACTATGTAGAACTATAGACATAGTGTGTTAGTAATTATAGAACATATATTCGTAGATTGTGTTGTTTTGTTAATCGTATCTTACTTCCTTGGTAAGAGATTCTTACATGCATTTTAGTGCATTTTTTTTTCATTCTCGTCAACCTTTGTACTATGGAAAGCATTATCAACCCTAACATGTTCGCTCAACAAAGCTTGTCAATGTCTTGTAAATACAATATTTGCAGGGGTTAAAAAAAAAAAAAAATAAAAGATTTTTTAAAAAAAAAAATTACCTTTTAAAAAAATGTAAAAAAAAAAATCACCCATTTTATATATTTTTTTTATATTTTTTGACGTATCGGTAGGATAATGAGCTTTCTCTACTAACAATTCAATCATCATTTGTTCTGCTGTTAGTGGCAAAAAAAAAATAAAAAAAAATTAATTAATTAAATTAGGTGGTTTCTAGAAAGTGGCAAATTTGTTCTGCTGTTATTTAAAACATTTCTTTCAAAATGTGCTTTTTCACAAAAACAAGGATTTAAAAGATGTTTTCTTACAAAGTTGCCTACAAATATTATAAAAAATCAAACCTTAAAGTTATTTGGTTCATGGTTGGATAAAGGCTAAAATTACATGTTGAAGCACAACACAAATCACAATCTCTTTAGGCAGAAACATACTGCAAAACTATTCACTATTTAGTTGACTAGCCAATATATGTATTTCTGTCCAATACATAATCAAATTTTTTGTAAACTGAACTTTGTTGAATGTTAAGCTTAGTAACAACTAATACAACTACAATCAAGCATTGCAATTGTTATAGAGTTGATTTCTATATGATATATGAAGTATTAAAATACACTACAACTGTCAAATACTGCAGCAGTCAAGGGAGCAGCTGAAGCAAGAAATAATGGTCTAAAACCAAGATACAATTAAGACTTGAATTTTAACCTAATTTAACCTAAGCTACAATTCCTGTTTCATTCCTTTGTATCCTCAGCCGACACAGCCTGATTGCTACTCTCTGCCTTCGTTGAAAGACTTGAAACAATTGGACTACTACCAGTTATTGCAGTGCTCACTGCCATAGCCTGTTCAATCGGTTCAATTACTCCAGGTTTTTCTGATCCAGGAATTGTTATTGATGGATTATTACTTGTTTCTCGCTGAGAGATGCTGCTTCCTCCAAACATAGAACATTCCAGATTTTGTCCCTCTTCCTTCTTGACTTCTACAATCTCGCTAGCAGTACCAGGATTCATAATGTTCTCAGCAGAAGCTTCAGTAGCTGAAGTTCCTGAATTGCCACTCTTGGTCTTTTCCAATTCTGGAGCTGCAGCTGGAATAGAAAACAGAACTGGAGCTGGAGTAGGAACTAAAACTGGATCTGGAGGTGGAGCTGAGGTAGGATCTGGATCAGAAATCAGAATAGCAATAGCACTCACAGATGGACTTGGAGCACAAGCCCGACTCGGAGATGAATTTGGTGCAGAAATTGGAATGGAAGATGAAGCTACAGTTGGATCTGGAGAAAGGGTTGGAGTCGGGATTAAAGCCGCAGCCGGGGCTGGAGCTGGGGCTGGGGCTGGGGCTGGGGCTTGAGCTGGAGCTGGGGCTGGGGCTGGGGCTGGGGCTGGGGCTGGGGCTGGGGCTGGGGCTGGAGCTGGAGCTTGAGCCAGATCTGGAGCCGAGGCTGGAGCTGAAGCCGCAGCCAGAGTTGCAATTGAAGTTGAACTTAAAGCAGGAGCCCGATCAGCCTCAGCAGAAACAGCAACAGAAGTTGAATCTAAAGCAGGAGCTGGAACTGAAGTTGATGCTAAAGCATTAGCCAAAGCTGGAGCTGGAGCTGGAACTGAAGTTGATGCTAAAGCATTAGCCAAAGCTGGAGCTGGAGATGAAACTGAATTTGAAGTAGGAGCTGGAGATGGGATTGAAGCTGAAGCAGGACCGGTTACTGGAGTTGGAGCAGGAGCTACAGTTGGAACTTGAGTTGTAGTTGGATGTGGACCACCAGCCCCTGCACTCATAATAGTTGGAGCAGATACTCCGACAAAAGCACTAGGATTATGACTAGTCACCCTCAATGAGCCGCTTGAAGTAGCATCAACTGTAGCCTTTTTGGAGTCTGCAGAAACAGATGATGATGCTGATTCATTGACAGCATGAAGCACCTGCAACCTGTAATCAGTTTCTGGCCGACGACATACTTTTCTTAAGGGCACAATTTCCTAGAGGCAGAAACAAAAGAACAATGAGTGTTTTGTAAACCAGCAGTTAACAGAAATCTATGAGGCACAAATTCTTTGAGTATAAAAACTTTGAGAAGAATTAATAAATTAAATTAAAAAAACCCTTTTCATCCTCCTGAGTTTATACATTAAAAGGTAAATTTAAAGCTGGATGTCTGGAGATTGTATGCACCAGGCCCATTTAACTTCCATTTGGCTGGCTACTTCCTTCGTTAAAGGGTAAAACCGGGGGAGAAAGGGGGGGGGGGGGGGCAGACGAAATATCTTGCCCATGTGACTACTAAAAAACTAATTTGAAACTTCATACAAAGAAATGTATTGTGACTATTAGAAACTAAGAGAACTTCAAACTCAAAGCATTGGAGGTCTTCTACTAAGTGCACCAAAATTTAAAGAATAGCCAGGATGTCAATTAATGACAGGTAAGATAAATCATTCAGCTCCTATAGCACAATACACCATATGATTTCAGTGGGAATTACATAATCCGATACAAAACGATAAATGCAGATATAAGATCTACAATTTAAGCCATTTCTTTGCCTAAATTAAGGACTAACAACTTTCTACAGCTTCAAACACAGGTATTGTTTTATCTCCCTCGGGTATCTCTTATGTAAAGAAATCTTGTAGAATATCGAAAGTAGCAGAAACAAGAGGTGGAGAAATACCTCAGACTGATCATGATCGTAACGGACCAGAAACCTGCAGCGACAGCCTCTTACATCATGTCTCCTCCTTTGAGCATCAAGGACATGAGCATCAAAGTAAAGAGCCTGCTCTTTACCTTCCTGAATATATATTTAAAGTACAAAAGCACAATGTCAGAATGTATTACCGATTCCAAGTCATAATTGAAAGATCCAGTCCTACCTGAAAGCAGAGGATGAGATCCCCAGGAAGAACTGCAACACACTCTGATGATTCACATGGAAGTGACCTCTGTCTAACATGTTTGCGAACATTAACCCACTCATCTTCTTCTGGCCCAAATCCAGAAAAACGGATCAGAACTTCCTGAAACCCAAAATTCAGACATGGGTACGAGTGTCAGGTATGAGCACAAATTCAAGTGTTAAGACATGCAAAGATCCAAATTTGGACAAGGATGCAGGGACACAGCATTAGTGAAACACATCCTGATTCTACATTAGTTATGTCAATTCACATTACAAATACACATATTTTAGAATTACTTGTTTCCTAGTTCTGTATAATGTTCTTATCTCCAGCTCATATTATAGCACATATTGGCTTATTTTCTTTCTGTTTGCCATCCTTCTATATTAAAGTTTATCTCCACAAATACGTTAATCAAGATCATTAGGTCTAGATGAAATCAAAGTGATGGGTAAAAATTTCATACACATCACAGTGTTTAGTGTCGACATGAAAATCCAAGATAAAAAAGATGAGTGATAAAATAGACAAGAACAAAGACAATTCTACTTCTAAAATTATTCAGCACATATCCGATAAAGAGCTAAATATTAATCAACAGCAAGATTGTCCTACATCGGATACCACAAATGAGCACAAGATGTAGATAGGCTAACACCCTAAACCAGCAACAACTCTGAATAACTAGAAGCCAAGCTATAATGGTTTTATTTGAAAGCAGAGTAACCAAAGATCAATAGTAAACTAGACCCACGTCATCATGGATCCATGAGAGAATCAAATAGGACTCGTTTAACTAAAATTATATTCTGTTGTAACAGAGAACCCAATTCTATTGTATTCTGCAAGTTATTAAACTTCGAGAATATACTCAAATTTTTAAGGTAAATATTAAGATATATTGATGAATGTTGAGATGATTCAATTTAAATGTGTTGTAGATATTTCTCATATCTTACTTGATTCCAAATTGATTCAGAAAGTTTTCTCTTCTGTAGAGTTATAAATAAGTTAATAAATATTTAAATGAATATCAAGATTATAAAACAAGCAGAGAAGAGGGGAAAAGAAAGGCAGGTAAAGAGGTAACATTTTCCTACAAAATTTTATAGTTGAAGAAGCATTCAGATTCCGATAACTCTTCTAGCTCCCAGACAGATACAGATAATCCATAAAAAAAAAATTCAAAAAAAAAAATTCAAAAAAAAAAAGGGTGGATGGGTGGAAGAACAAAGTGAATAGGGTAAGAAAGAGTGAGTGGAAATGTGTAAACATTGTGAACTAGGATAGTAAAGAGGATATGCCAAAGCAAAATGTTAAGAACATTTTTGAAATATACCAAAATAACAAATGTTAAAATCATTGTGAAACTAAGGTAGTATTTTCGTGCTTGATTTGTACAAATTCGGGCATATATTGTACAGCTTGTACCTTGCGAAAGGCCTTAAAAGCTGAAACCCCACGTATTTGTGGAGCAGTGATAAAACACCCAGCTATAACGACATTTTTATATTGGTAAGCAAGTAACTGAATGGTCCATCATAATTAGATTGCAGTAATAAGTGTAATTTCTACCCATGACAACATAATAAGTAATCAAAAATAATATAGAAGAGTTCCGACATAAGATATAATTCTGATTACAGAGTTCTCTGTTAATTCACAAAAATCAAGTAATTTAATAAAAAAGTAGAGAAACTTTTTCAAAAACTGAAAATATTTCCAGGTTGGTTGACTTGGTTCTAGGAACCACGACCAAACATGAGCCTTGGTAACTTTCAAGGTACAAACTTGCTTGCTGACACCGAGGGTAACAGACAAGGTAGCAAGGGCTCTCTAACTTAGTCTTGATGGTAGTGTAGGGGCTGAGGATTTGGTTAGATTCCTAGGCATTAATGAGTGATTTTTGAAGGTTTGGTAGGCCAAAGAAGAGGCTGTACTGAGGTATGAGAGGATTGGAAAGAAAAGGTTGTAATTCTTGCCACAGGCTTTCTCTAAATCTCAACCAAAAATAAATAGATAAATAGGATCAGTTTCTTCCAATCTACTGACATTTTAAAATGTAAGAAAATTGAAACATAGATTCAAACTTGGAACCACCATCATCATATTGGTCTCTAGAGTCCATACTCCATATCCACCTCCCAGCATTGTTATTGCTGGCCAACACAGGAAGTTTTTGAAATGAAACAAATGTGGAGGTGAAAGTTTGAAGTTGCGATTATCAACTCCCCCCCCCCCAAACACCGACTACAAAATATAATGGCAATGGGTTTCATGGGAAGAAAAGTGAGCTAAAATGACACAGAAGGAATGCAGATCCTCAAAGCCTATTCATGAAGTTAGAAACCATCACTAAATCTTTCTCGTAACTCGGCAAGGCCAAAAAGGTTACATATACCTCCAAATTTAATAGTAAATACTGAAAATCAGATGAATTCCAAACACTTACGGGGTTACCAGTCTCAAGATGTCTATGAGAATGAAATGCTTGGACATCATACCTAACAGATAGAGATATCAAGTATTAGTTTCTGAATAAACAATTAATGACAATATAAAAATCATGAAGTTACCAAAAGATTAAATAAATAGAAGATCTATTTACCATGCCCCATCCCTAGCAGATTTGGCTTCAAATTCCATTAAAGGATTTTCAGTTGTATTTTTTGCCACATTATGACCTAAAAAAGACATAGTAGGACTTGTTAGGATGTAAAGAACATTTATATCATTGTGCATTCTTATCAAAAGAGCAAATGCAACTCCATAAACACGCCTGGATATATCACTCCTTGACAAACAAAATGCAAAAAATAAATAAACAAATACCATTCAGCAAACATGGAAAATATCTGTTCAGTATACAAGACATGACTATGCTAAAAGTGATGCAGAGCACATTAGTTGAAAGAGATAAATCGAAAAGCTTGATGCATCCAACTACATACAGAATTTGACTTTTAGTCTACAAATCCACAGAATAATTTTCCTGCATCAAAATAGCTCTAAATCTAACTTTGTTCACATCACAGATTAGTAAAGTTGCCTCTAAGAGCATCATGCTAGGCTCATATAAAGAGAGATAAGGGAGAGAGGAGGAAATACAAGTGAGGAATTCTCAGAATCTCAGCGCTAATTTGAGAAGAAAATAGAAGAGGAGATAGATCAATAATAGAGGGGACACAAAACCCTACTTCACGATACAATTGTACAAAAAACTCAAAAGAGGGATATAGAGTGACAGTAAGCACTCTAGCCACTACTTCTCAACCTCGAATCTTACCGATTTTAGGTGCTGAGTATTCCTTCAACGGAACAGAACGCTTCATGTTGTCGGATCAGAGGGTAAACAAAGCCCTGAGATCTCCTTTCAAAGGAAGAGAGAAGAGAGGCTCAAAAAGAGAGTTAAAGATGAAAAATGTGACAAGGGGAAAACAAACAAAAAATGGTAGCGAAATAAAGGCCAGAAAATCCGGATATAATTGGCCAGAATTAAATGCTGAAGATATCATTCCTCCATTCCTCTTCTTTCTCTCTATTAAAAAAATGAGGGGCAAATTTCCTTCTTTCCCTTGTTCTTTACCCCTTCACATTACCCCTACTGCCCAAACAAGCCATTAGTAAATTATGCTGCAAAAGTTCAACGTAAAAAATTCTTAAACTTCTGCTATTTGCTCAACTGAAGTATCAACAACAAACACTTCTGCTATTTACACAACAGTTGAGTTGACCAACAGATTACATAGTGGTAGTATGAGTGCATTGTATACAGCGGAAAATCACCATTACTTATAATTCTCCCTATTGCTAATTCTTAAATTTTTTTAAGGGTATAATTTATGAGCAGTAAATTTTTCATTCTGGAAATTTATTTTAAGTCTCATATGGTTAAAATGGGCAAGGGTTAATGCAACATTAAATTAGACTGCCCATCACCATTACTTATAATTCTCCCTATTGCTAATTCTCAATTTTTTAAGGCTATATTTTATGAACAGTAAAATTTTCATTCTGGAATTTTATTTTGAGTCTCATATGGTTAAAATGGGCACGGTTTAATGCAACATTAAATTAGACTGCCCAGTTTGGATTTAACTGTTGTTGTACCAATATTTTGAAACATGCACAATCCATAAAGTAATGAATAACAATAATCATCATAAAGCAGTAAACAATAATTCTCGTCTATTTCTTCTTTCCATCAGATTACATCATTTATAATTACATCATTTATGATTACCTGTGTCTCCTTGCTCTTCCAAGAAAAACTAACCAATATGCTAAAACAGAATAAATTAGTCTACTAGATTCAGATATGCCACCACTAATTCTCTTTAATGTAGAACAAGTTCAAAAATTTTAGAACTAGGTTGTCATAAAAAATGAAGACCAGTTAGGTTACAATGCACCTTGAGCAGTTTATGTGAACAAGCTGTAAAAAGTTCGCCTTTAATATTATACAAGGTAGGCCAACTTCTTATATATGATAGCTTCTCAAGATCAGGAGGGTGGATCATGTTCTTGCACACAATTTGTACTTTTGATTGATGTCCTGTTTGCTTTGCGACTTAATTATGCCTGGTAAAAGAAGAAAATCTTCCCAAACTACCAACACCTGTAGAAGATTCTAGCCAATCCCATTCTTCTAGAGGTCTGTGCAATTGTGTTTTTAGATATCTTAATTTCTTTTTAGTAACATTAATATAGCCATGAGAAAATATTTAAGTAAATCAATAATTTGTTCCCTTTGTTCCGATGGAGGTTGACACAAAATTATGGTTCCAGGCCTTCCTAACTGTTCCTTAATAATGTTCTCAAAAAAAAAAAAAAAAAAAAAAAAAAAAAAAAAAAAAAAAAAAAAAAAAAAAAAAACTGTTCCTTAATAACAGTAGTCAGTAAAACAGCACCAATTTGGCTTTTTTCAGCACTGTAAAGCTAAAATTCTAGGCATTCACTACAAAGATGCAAATATTAACAAAAATTGGACTACGTCATTATTTCATTAACAATCTTATAAGTAAAATTATTTCCTCTTGTTCTAAATATTTGCAACACTTTGACTTTTGCACAACTCTTATGATTGCTTTGACCACAATACCTCCTCACTTATCTTTTAATCACAACGTTTGACTTTTTCCACAATTTACACACTCCTTTAATCATCTTTTGTGATTTATATGTTACAAAAAACACAATCATGTCAGATCTTGCTTGATTTGCCTCGATTGCTTTTTATAATTTTAAATAAAATAAAATAAAAGATATAGCATAAGATGTGAATCGGCAAGCATGATTGCCCAATGCTGCAATTAAAAGAATGGAGAAACATATAAATGACAAAATCCTTACGAGTATGTAAAATGTTGGATTTAGCTCAATGTATAGTTGGATTTAGCTCAATGGATAATATCAATTTTGTAATCTTTACCAATATATAAGCGAAGATATAACTGGTCGATTTTGTACATTGGAAAATGTTAAAGACAATGTGTAGAAAGTAATTTTGAAGCATGAAAAATCTGAACAATATTAAAGTAATACTCCCTCCGTTACATATTACTCGCAACAAAGGAATATTTTATGTCTCACAAATAATACCCCTTTGTTGCGAGTAATATGTAATGGAGGGAGTATATTTTTAAAAAAAAAAAAAAAATCTAATCGATTTATACAGGATTATCTGAATATATGTTCATATGGCTACGGTTTTTTTTTCTTTGAATTTCATAATTTACAATAAATGGGTATACATTGGCCGTAAAAAATCATCATCACAAAGAAAATCAAACTAAAGAGTGTTGGATATGCTAATATTCCAAGAGAGTAAAAACTTCTCGTGACCTCAGGGAATCCATAAAATTACTTCTATAATGTTCTTACATATGAATAAATGCCAAACTGAAGTAAGAGAAATATAGTAGCGTCTACATCCATAAAATCTTAGTACTCAACTACTTAGAAAAAATTCCCTCTATTCACCTCCATTTACATTTATAAAATATATTGTTCAACCTATTCAACTACAATCGTCGAGCTGGGTTTTTCATAAACTTTGAAAAGATCGACAAATTGGTTTTGGGGAAAAGTGAACTTAAATGGTCATTTTTATTCGGATAGAGTGAGTAAATATATTTTGTAACGGTACTTTTGTAAAAGTGCACTAAGAATGCTTTCAAATACAAACCTATATAGCCTCCGTTTCTTTTCGATGTTCTTGTTTTGAATTACACACTTTTTTCAATACACATTTTTTACCATTGAGATCTCTAATTGCGAATAGTATATATACTATATACTTGATATTCTTAAAGCACTCATCGAGACAAATTAAATAAGATATCATATGTCATGTTTTTACAATATGAATTGGAAAGAGTTTAGAAGATTTTCGCAAGTTGAATTCAAACAAGAACATAAAAAAAAAAAATAATAAAAAAAAAATAAAATAAAAAAAAGAAAAGCGGAGTATAACTCTTGATCCTAAGGTCTTAAAGAGATAAGGAGGCAACCAAAAAGAATGCAAGGAGTTATATTAGAACATATTTCAAATCAACTTAATTTGCATATGAACACAAAGAGGCAAAAGATTGTACAAAGTCCACATTAAACAAGTCTTTAACGGATTAAATCTTTAAATATATGGAATTTTTGTTTGGAACTGGAATAGGGTATCTAGATCCAAAAAAGACATAAATGTATCTTTTTAAAAATAAATATACAATAGAGAACAAAAATTAGGCCCAAAGGTGAATGAAATAGTGCATTTGAAGGTACTTGAGCCAAGTTATGAGTTTGATAAGGTTAATTATTCATAAATTTGTACATAAATGAATTTGGCCCATCACAAAATATTAATATTCCCTCTGTTCCGAGATAATTAATGTATATGGCCCATCACAAATAATTAATATCCCCTCCGTTCCTACATAAAAAGTTGAATAGCTTTTGCTCATGTTTGTAAGGAGATGAATAAAAATTAATGCACAATAGGATATAATTGATTAAAAGTAAAAAATAAAAAAAAATAAAAAAAAAACAAGATAGTAATATTTGATTTATTGAAAGAGGAATACCTAATTCCTAACCTACAAATCAAGTGGCATTCTTGAAAATAAAATGAACTTTTATGATAAAAATTAAAAAATAAAAACAAATCAATCAATCATGATCCCATAAATGGGGTAGAATACATGAACCAAATATGATTATTCCGTGTGGTCGTCCACAAATATCTTCCTCCTCTATCCCTTACGATCCAATACCTCATCCTCATGCAAGTCCATATATTTCATATCATTCCTAACTCCTTCCAACCAAGTCATTTTCGATCTCCCTCTCCCTCGTTGAACCCCTCCATAAGGCCACCCTTCCACTCTTCGCACCGGTGCACTCTCAGGTCTCCGTCTTACATGCCCAAACCAACGCAGATGATTTTCCTTTAATTTGTCTGTAATGCCTATCACACCTACTTTCTTGTGGATAACTTCATTTCTAATTATATCTATAAGAGTGTTCCCACACATCCACCTCATCATGCGCATTTCTATAACCTCTATCTTTGTAATGTGCTTCTTAGAAGCCCAACATTCAGTACCATAGAGCAACACTGGTCTTATAGCAGTCTTATCCCTTCAAGTGTAAGGGAATGCTTCGATCACATAATAGTCCTGTGGCCGCTCTCTATTCAAGCCACCCTGACCTAATCTTGTGGGCCACGTCTTGATCAATGTCCCCATTTTACTAGATGATCGACCCAAGATATTTAAAACATTCACTCATGGTCAAGTCTTTTCCATCCAAACTCATCACATCATTGATTCCCCCCCCCCCCAAGTACCAAATTGGCATACTGAATATTCAGTTTTACTCCGACTTAACTTAAACCCTCTAAATTCCAACCTTTGCCTCCATTGCTCCAACTTGCCATTAACCTCATCTTTAGTTTCATCCACCAAAACGATATCATCCGCAAACAACATACACCGTGGAACCTCATCTTGAATTGGTCTACTTACTTCATCTAGAAGGACTAGAACCATTGCAAAAAAAAAATGGGCTTAATGCAAACCCTTGATGCAATCCAATTGTAATAGGAAAATCTTTTGTCAACCTCCACATGTCCTCACATTCGTTGACAAATCCCGATACATATCTTAAACTAAGTCTACATGCCTTCAGTAGATACCTTTTTTCAACATTGCCCATCATAGTATCTCTCTAGGCATCTTGTCATATGCATTAACCAAATCAACAAAAACCATATGAAGATCTTTCTTCTTTGCCCTATAAAACTCCATCATTTGTCTTATCAAATGAATTGCTTCCATAGTAGATCTCTCATGCATAAAACCAAATAAATTATCTGAAATGCTAGTGCGTGCCCTTAACCTATGTTCAACCACTCTTTCTCACAACTTCATAGTGTGGCTCATAAGCTTTATCCCTCGATAATTAGAACAATCTTGAGCGTCTCCTTTGTTTTTATAGACCATGACTAGTGTGCTCTTCCTCCAATCTTGTTGAACCCTTATAGCCCTCCATATCTTGTTTAAGAGGTTTGTTAATCCATCAGTACCGATTTTACCCAAACACCTCCATCAGTATATCATCAGGACCAACTGCCTTCTTTGGCTTCATCTTCTTTAATGCAATCTCCACCTCTACTCTCCTAATCCTCTTCACATACTCCATATTGATTTCTTCATCACTCACAGAGGTATCTCCCGTCACAACTCCATTACTTCCAAATAACAATTCATCAAAGTACCTCTTCCACCTATCCTTGATGTCCTCATCTTGTACTAGAACAATTTGGTTCTTATCTTTGACATACTTTACCATGCCAATATCCTTCCTTGCCTCTTGTCTTCTCTTTGCCATCTTATAATGATCTTTTCTCCCTCCTTTGAGTCAAGCTTTTCATAAACCTTCTAATAAGACATCTTATGATAAAATATAAAAATAAAATAAAAAATAAAAAGAGTAATAAATGAAAAGGCAGCGTTAGCAGTTTATGCATTTAACGGTTGTCAACTCACATAGTTATGTATTATGCTTCCAGAAAGTGAAGTATGGCTCATGCAAAATTTCATTTTTTTTTCTCCCAAAAAAAAATATGCCAGCAGTCCACTAAAATTTTCAACCCTTCACGCCACAAAACATTGAAAAAACTTCATGACTTTTTTTTTTTTTTTTTGGTAATTGGTACCAAATGTATGTTAATTTTATCAAACTGAAGTAAACTTAGTACTAACTGTATGTCAATATTACACCAATTGTTTCATTTGGTACCAAGTTGAAATAAATTTGGTACATCCTTCATTTGGATGACATTTGGGCAAATGGCAATTGAATCTTCTTGAATTTATAAGACTCCATTTTGAAAAGGGATGAACAAAGATCTGTTCAAAGCGAAGAGGGTTGACAATGATGAAGCTTTGAATTGAGGGGCGCAAATTTGTGCAAGAGATAAGTGAGAAAAAAGTAACAGAAGAGAAAAGAGAAAGCACATAATCAAATAGCCAAGAACCGAAATCAACTCAAAAAGAGAGTAAATTTAGATGAGGGATTCAAAAAGGAAAATCCTTGCAAGAGGGCATGAAAGTACAAGAAGGAGAGAGAGATTGTGAAAATGAAAGTTTGAATTTTTGAGGTTAGAAAATGAAAAGTACCGTCAAGCCATTACCGTCAATTGAAGGTCATTTGACAGCCATTAAGAGAAAAGTGGATAGTTAATATGCAATTACCGATATGTCCCTTAATAAATTTTATCAAGGAAAGAAATTGGGTAGCCGTCGATTCAAAATGAAAATAAGAAAGTGGGGTTTGGTTGACCAAAAGTGAAAAAAGAAATAAATAAGTGGAATAGGACTTTTTATAAACAAGTTTTTAGGTGAGATAGGACTTTTACTTAGGAGTATAGGGAGTAATTTGGCTTAGATACAAAGTTGCAAGTTTAGTTTTGGTTTCAATTAGGCTTAGATCGGGACTGTATAAAAAAAAATTAATAATAAAAAATTAAAAAACAAAAAAAATAAAAAATAAATAAAACAAAACAAAACAACAGAAAAAAGAAAAGGAATGTTTTCAGCTCAAATTTAGACTTAAGCCAAGTCCAAATTGTTAAGTCTAATATAAACCCTCAATCCAATGTAAGAAAGAGTAGAGATTCATCACAAACTGTTTTCCCTTGCATGCTTTGTCAAATATGTAAAAAGTTTCCTTGATTTGGCATTCTCACTCTCAGAACTTCTTTCAGTCATCAACTTGAAATTCCGATTGAAAAGACTCAAATAGGTGCAATTAAAGCTAGAATTTTAGTAATAAAATCTCAAACTGTGTTGCAGGTGTTGTTTTGTCTTGCAACACATTTTCATTAATAAACCATATCGTGATTCCATTCAATAGCCCAAGGCCTAATCACTAACCAGCAAAATCAGCACTACCACCAAAGACGCAGACAGGTTCACGTGTTCATCCACCAATCTTAATCTCCTCAACAAATCTAAACCATACTTTTTTAAAGGAGAGGGAAATGGTTATACTGAGGTGGTCCTTTCAATGCATTGGCAAAAAAGTACACAAAAATGAAACTTGATATCCCTATAGCAACAAACATATGATACAATGAATACAAACCAGGATATTGTTTGAGCATATATCCAAGGTAATTTTATAAATCAGAACTAACGCCGATTCAAAATCAGTCTAGGTCTAGAGGCCAAATGCCAAATCGGAAAAACCATTTGAATTAGAGGTCAAGAAATTAATATGCCAAGGAAGAAGCATGATGAAAGGATACATGATATTCATATTACTTTTAGATAAATACACATGATAATTCCCTAGTTAAATGTAGGGAAACATCCTACGTCTATAGATACTATGGGTATAGCATGCTTGGTGATCAAACTCATCCTACCTGACGGTGATGGTGCAACTGTCTGTTGAGGAACAGAGGGTACATTTCTCACTGGAGTAACTTCAGCCTGCGGATTAGGTGGCATATTCGGGTTCCCAGGTGCCTTGACCAATTTTGACCTCAGGGCATAACGCCTATTTTGGAACCAGTTCCAGACCTACAACATAACCAATAGAAATTCAGTTATCAAACATTACTTTAAAAGCCAAGAACATAGTGATAGCCATGGGTTAATCAATTGATTTCTAAGATTTAATTCGATACCTGCTTCATTTGTACTGTGATTTTTCCGGATCGCTCTGATGAATTACTACACTCATGATAAATATCCCTCGATCAGATAAGCCAAAATAGGAATTAACAGCTTGCCTTATTTGAAAAAGATAACAAACCTGAATCTATCAGCAAGCGCCATAAGAACCTCTCTAGCTGGAACATGACCACCATGTTCTCGTAAAAGAGCTTCCATTTGTACAACCTAAAAACAAACAAATCCCACCTTAAATTAAAAAAAATGCCAACAGTTGAAATACTATGAAAGCAACCAAACAAACTCTTGATGCATGTAATACAATTTACATAGTTTTCCATAGAACTTCCACTAATAAAACAAGGTCAGTTTTCAGAAGAACGTATGCCTTGAACAAAACAACTCTAGAGATTGAAAAGGTGAATTATACACCTTTCACCAAAAGCAATATTCTTCTATATTACTCCATAAATAATAGTATAAACGGCTGAAACCTCCCTCCTCCCCAACCCCACCCCCCGTCGCTCCATTTGTCAGTGAATAGGAGAAGACTTAGTAACCAATTGTCAACAATGCCAATTAAAAATACAAAGGGTCAAAGGTCGGTACGGATACAAACCTTTAACATCCTCTACTTCTTTTTATTTGACACATTTCTTTAGTCACACTAGCCAATTCACAAATTCAACCATTACTATCTTAATTACCAATAAGCAAAAATTATAAATTCTTGATATTTTTAAATAATACATCGAAATAAATCTAACAAGACCATCAAAAAACACGATCAAATAAGAGTGTGTGAATAGTGTCAAAGTCAAAATGTGTCAACCAAAAAGAAACCGAGAAAGTATATGCATAAACCCAGCAGCAGGAAATTGATTCTACATCCAAATTAAAAGCATAGTGTCCTAGTTAACCGCCATTCCACATGAAACATACAAGAATTTAAATTTATCCGAATGCATCTCTTTTAACTATTAGAATTGTTTCAACCAAAGTATCAATTATGATACTCAAAGTATCTAATTAACCGGAATGGCGATTCCGGTCAAGGAAATGAACTACAAGTTGCATTCACAGCATAAACCGAGTCATCTTCAAACATATTGAATAATTTATCTGCTATACAACATTCATATAAATACATCATAGGAAAAAGAAAAAAAAAAATCAGAGGATTAAAAAACTATGATCATGCTCATAAATTCAACAGAATTCAGACCAAAAAATGTACATCAACCAACACATTAAAATCCCAACAAAGCCCAAATTTTAAAAACACCAACGTAATAACATCCAAAAAGATAAATAACGACTGAATTTGCATGTAACCCACATTAAATTATTCAAAAATACATGACCCCAGAAATGAAATTGAATGAAAGACGGAAAAAGATGAGAGAGAAGTGACCTCGGCAGGGAAGAAGCGGAAAGACGGGGCACCATGAGTAGGAGGACGACCCATGAATGAGTAATTGAATTGCAGAACCCTTCACTTGGATTCGTAAATTGAAGGCTGAATCTGCTTTTGAAGCGGGTCGAATTTTGAGAAATTCCGGGTGAATTGATTTTAATTTGCTGTCTAATGGCCGATGTTCATCAACTCCGGCAAAACCTTCTCTTTTCAGTTTTTTTTTCCCTCTTCCAAGTACTGCTGATTTTCTTTCTTCGCTTTAAATAACAAAATAATATATAAAAAAAAAAATATATTAAATAGGTAAAAACCGGACTGAAATTACTTGTCCTTTTTTTTCCATCATCCGTCTTTTAATAAGCAATCCCATTTGCATGTACCCGGTGTACAGTATTTTTACTGTACATCGGGTTTTCGCACGTGCTTTCTTTTTAAAAAAAATCGCAGAATTTCAAAATCGCGGAATTTCATACCTTAAAATCAAAAAAACGCAGAACAACAATGGAGGAGAGAGAAAGTGAGAAAACGCAGCTATCAATCATCCATTGAGGAGAGAGAAAGTGAGAAATCGCAAAAATTGCAGAAAACGATCATCAATCGAGGAGAAAAAAGGTTAGAAAACGCAAAAATTGCAGAAATCGATCATCAATCGAGGAGAAAAAAGGTGAGAAAACGCACAAATAGAAGAATTCGATCATCAATTAAGGACAAAGAAAGTGAGAAAACTTACAAATTGCAGAATTCGATCATCAATGGAGAATTCGACTTTCGATACAAAAAATTGCAGCAATCTCATTCACGAATTGCTAGAAAAACAAAGGCAAATTGAGACTGAATTTGAAATCGATTTAAATCGATCGATTATAGAAGAAGAAGAAACTAATTGTTTTGGAGATGAATTCGTACCAATATTCAACAATCCAGACAATGCAGATGAAGCAATCGATAATGCAGATGAAGCAATTGAGAATGCAGAAGACGCAATTCACAATGCAGAAAATCAAGTGGTTCCTGATAAATCAATTGATTCAAATTCAGAACAAACAACCAAATCAGATGCAACTGAAGGTAATTTCTATGAATTTTTGAGATTGTATGCAAAAAGTAACCCTTTGAATACATAATTGTTACCCTTTTCATGCATAAACGTGACCATACTTATGCCTAAATGTTACCCTCAGATTGAATGCAGAACTTTTTAGATTGCATGCAAAAAGTAACCCTTTGAATGCCTAAATGTTACCCTTTTCATGCTTAAAAGTGACCCTATTTATGCTCAAATGTTACACTCAGATTGTATACTGAAAATTCAGATTGTATGCAAAAAGTAACCCTTTGAATGCCTAAATGTTACCCTTTTCATGCTTAAAAGTGACCCTATTTATGCTCAAATGTTACACTCAGATTGTATGCTGAAAATTCAGATTGTATGCAAAAAGTAACCCTTTGAATGCCTAAATGTTACCTTTTTCATGCATAAAAGTTACCCTATTTTCAAACGAATGTTACCCTTTTTTTTTATGATGTCTGTGGTTATTATCTGATTTGTTTGTATTAAATAACAGATACAAATCCAATTGATGCTTATGGTTTAGATCTTAGAGGATCATTTGTTGGTGTGGTAAGAGAAACTTTTGAAGAAATTTTGGAATTGTATGAAAAAACATGCTGCTATACTGGGGTTTTCAATAAGAAAACATACAACTAGATTCAAACAACACACAAAAATAGTAACTGAGAAAAACTATGTGTGTTCTGCTGAGGGAAAGAGACATTCAGGTCAGAAGAAAACAAAGTTAGTTGAAATGGTTGATGAAGAGGATGTAAATGTAAAAACAAGAAAGCCAAGACAAGTATCCATTACAAGATCAAATTGCAAGGCATGCATAAGAGCAAAAGTGAATAAAGAAGGACAGTTTGAGGTGGTGGCTCATGTTATTCAGCATAACCACGAGCTAACAAAGCCACAGTGGCATTATTTGCATCGTTCTGAAAGAAAAATGACAGAGGAAAAAGTTGTAGCAATCAAAACAATGAAATCTTCAGGTCTAACTACAATGGACACTTACAATTACATGGCTACAGAGGCTGAAGGAGAACATAATATAGGTCATAGTGTTGTAGATCACCTGAATTTCTTCTGAAGGTTAAGAATGGAACAAATTGAGGCTGGAGATGCTCAAACTTTAGTGAACATTTTAAGTCAGGAACAATCAGAGGATCCAAACTTCTTTTTTAGAGTGAAGTTTGACAAAGAAGGAAGAATTTGCAATATCTTTTGGAGAGATTCAATGATGCTAGAAGACTATAGGATATATGGAGATGTTCTTGTCTTTGATACAACATACAGAGCCAATATATATAATCTTATATGTGCTCCATTTGTTGGCATAAATAACCACTGGCATAATTGTATGTTTGCTTGTGCTTTTATTGGGGATGAAACGACAGATTCATTTGTGTGGTTACTACAAACCTTCTTCAAAGCTATGGAGGATAGAAAACCAACTTCAATATTCACTGACCAGGACCAAGCAATGGCAAATGCTATACTGGAGGTAAAAGATTTATATTGACATCTTACAGATTTGAGCTATGACAATAAAGTTTTCCTTTTTCACATAAAATTACCCTTTTAGCTGCATAAAGTTACCCTTTTTAGTGCATAAAGTAACCCTTTTAACAGCATAAAGTGATCCCTTTATTTTCAATGCAGGTGATTCCTAATACAAGGCATAGACTTTGTATATGGCATTTGGAGCAAAATGCCATAACCAGATTTGAAGCTCTTAAATTTATTACATTAAGTTTAGAATAAAAATACCAGATCAGCATCCATTATATTACATTCAGGATTCTCATAGCTAACCCAACCTTCCCATATGTCGTGCAAATCCTTAACAGCACTAGATATGTTACCTTTGCCAATATTGTCACAAACATGGAAGAATGAAAACTATTAAAGTATAAGATCTCAATAATATATATATAAAGTAAATGTGTTAAGATATAAAAAAAGGAATGAAATAACTTACACTCTGCCTAACACCGAAGAAGAATTTTCGAGGACCAGTAGCCTGAAAACATGCTTTCTCATTCAAATACAGACAGAAGCAATCAATAACGCACCATCGAATCCTGAGTGGAGCAACAAGGAACACCATGTCTTCTCTTGGAATTAAAAAGTTCATTCCAAAAGTAACAAGGCTCTCACTGAAACAATAAAAAAATAAGATCAGCATTAAAAAAAAAATATAAGAAAAAAACAGATAAAAAAATAATTATAATAAAAAAGGACACTTAACTTCCTATCCATTGAAACATCCTTCAGCAAACAATAATCGAGAATTTCCAAATGTAACTGAGGCAAATTCTTGAAAATCCGAGCATTGCTCTTTACAAAAAGAGTTACAAAAGGCACCTGCACACCTACATGTCCACAGTCCATAGAGCATAGAGATTTATTTGCTCTGAGTCGAGGAGGTTCATTTTGTTCAATATGCCCGATAGGAATATTTTCAGTAGGACCAGGAATGATAGCAGAAGGTCCAGAACCATTAAGGCCTTCATTAACTATTTTTCCATGACCATTGTCATCATCCTTAGGAATATTTTCATTGAAACCTTATGCAAGTTCTTTTTCAGGAACAAAATCTTTGTTACCTTCTGTAGATTCATAAAAACCGCGAAACATATCATGTACAGACTTCATTTTATTACACTCATCAATTAAACCATCTAAAATCTTCAAATAATGAGGATCAGAGAGTAGCAGTTCAGTTTGAGAAACTGAAACAAAATCATCAGAAGATAATGAAACACTTCTGCGAGAAGTAATCAGATCATTCAAGGTTTGAAAACCAGTTGACTGAACAAATAATAAAACATCCATATTTCTTTTAAACAAAAGAAACATTTCATGAACAACCTACAAACATATGAACAATAAAAAAAATGTTACAAATAAAAATAATAAAATAAGTAGGAAATTTAAATATATGCTAAAAGTGACCCTTTTAAATGCATAAACTGACCCTTTTAAATGAAAAAAGTTACCCTTTTGTATGAATAAAGTAACCCTTTTAACTTAATATTGAAGATAACTTTAATGCATATAAAGGGTAACTTCGGTGCAAATAAAGGGTAACTTTGGTACACAAAAAGGGTAACTTTTGTACACAAAAGGGTAACTTTTGTACACAAAAAAGGGTAACTTTTGTACACAAAAAGGGTAACTTTTGTAAACAAAAAGCAATAATAACTAAACATACAAGAAAACAGAACACTTACATCAGTTAAAATTATTTTAATTTCTTCATCGGTCATAATACCTTCTGGAAGCTCAAATGCAACAATGCGACCAGTGGTACCACTTGTAGAAGGACCCTTATCATAAACCAAAGTAGGAGCTGGCTTAAAAACAGTTCCCCTAAAATTAAGCTGTGACAGGATATGTAATAGTATCCAACGGTCCCTGCCCATAACCACCAGCTTTGATCTCTAACTTAATTCGCTTCTTAATCTTTACATCCGTCCAATGTTGAATTAAAGGAAGAGTACTACTTTCCTTTTCACCTTGAAAATTTAGACGATGAAAATACATAATTTGCAAAGCCAGCAAACAACCACTAACATTTTGAGCATTTTCATCATCCTTATACTTCTGAACAGCCTTCTTTAACTTTTTTAAAACATATGAACACCAATCAAAAGTTTTAATTTCATCAACTTTTTCAACAGCTTTCAGCAACTTCAATGAAACAACCTATTAGTAGTAGGAGCTAAAAAGCTAGACATAGCTTGAAGAACAAAACACCTCTTAAATTCTTCCCCTCCATCAACCAAATCAACCATCCTAGACTCCAATTTTGACAAATGAAGAGGTTGCTTACCAGAAATACCATAATCAGATCTCCATGCCTGAATGATACGTTTGTCTACACTTTCATCTTCAGAATTTTTATTAAGTTCGGGAACACAAATATCACTCAAAGGCAAGCAAAACACATCGCATATATCATTTCTAGTAACAACAAATTCTTTACCAGTAGCGATGGTAAACATGCAGCTACCAGCATTGAAGTTTTCAACAAGCCAAGGTAGCATTTGACGATTAAGAGTTTTCAATTTAAGATGTAATAAACCTCCAAAACCAATTTCTTCAACAACCTGTTTTTGCTCAGGACTAAAGTTCTGCAGCAATATTTCTAATGAATAGGGTCTACATCTTGCAATGATTCTTCTTTGCTCCCTAAATAGAAAAAAAAAGAAAGAAAATGTAACTAAAACAATATAAAATAAAAGCAAAATATAATTAAAAATGTAATAAAAAAATATGTATACTTA